GCCAACACCAACGCCACCGGTCGACAACCCCTTCTACAACCAGTTCATGGAGGATGTGATCTACGAGGGTGGGCATGGCTGTTCCTACGATCCCGAGGAGACCCAAAGTCAGGATGGCCGCGCCCAGTACGTTGCCGATGAAGAGGTCGACGACCATGCTGACTACGTCCATGGTGACTCGTGGCATGAAGACGATGACATCTATTGCGAAGGTGATGGTGATGAAGAAGAAGGCAATGACATTGATATAAGTGGCGAGCCACTGTTCATCGACGAGCTCACCCAAAGAGCGGAAGCACAAAAGAGGAGGAAGAGTATTCACACGGGTTCATATACACAAGAGGAGGACAAGTTGATTTACCAATGTTGGATGAAGATTAGCCAAGATCCGAGGACCGGCGCGCAACAAAAGGGCCTTATTTTTTGGATGAGAGTCCACAAAACATTTCATAAAAGGAAGATGTTTGAGCCCTACCAAATTACGAGCAACCGTGACATCACCTCGATTCAAAAGAGGTGGTTGTTCATCCAACAAGAGTGCAACAAGTATTGCGCCGCACCTGAGAGCGTTGAAGCACGGCCCGTGAGTGGTCTCGATGTTGGGGACATGGTATGCTCTCCTCATCCTAGTTCTTTCGTTGCTACGTCCATGAGATTTTGGCCTTGTATGTTTGTATGATCGATTGTTGTTGATCATGTGGTGGAGACATTTCAATTTTTGAAAGCATTCGAGGCCCGGCACAATGACAAGCCATTCACTCTTACGCATTGTTGAACGATTATCAACAATTGCCCTAAGTTCAAGGATCAATACCGTGAACTTCAAAGGAAGAGAGGCAAGAAGACGGCCAAGTTGGCCGGAGGTGGAGATGGCGAGGCGTTGAAGAGGCCGAGGGGCAAGACCAACTCCAAGGTGGACGACATACGTGATGCCTCATCAATGGCCTTGCATGAGACTTTACATGGCATGATGTCTCAAAAGGATGTGAGGGACGAGAACAAGCGGCAAAGAAAGGACGAGCAAATGAAGCAATACCTAGAGCTTCAAAGAAAGAAGCTTGAGATGGAGGAGGCGGCCGAGAAGAGGAAGTTGATTTGGAGGAGGCGTCCCGGCAAAGGCAGCTCGACATCGAGGCCACCAATGTTACGGCCAGGCAGAGGCAGCTCGACATCGAGGCAACCAATGCCGCAACCAAACAAAGGAGGTGGCCCTTGCGATCATGAGCGTGGACTTGACCAAGATGAGCGAGAATGGTTCGAGGCCAGGCAGAAGGAGATGTTCGACGTCGACGGCCTGAACTAGGTCGTCCGATCGACCGTGGTCGTTCTTTTTTGGAGGCCGGCATGGGTGCCGCCCGCTGGGCCGCTAGTTGTGTGCCGGCGAGACACACATTCGTTTTTTGAGGCTGGCTGTGTTGCCAGCCGCTGGCTCTGTTGCCGACGAGGACGTGTAGGCCGCTGGCTCTATTGCCGGGGAGGACGTGTAGGCCGCTGGCTCTATTGCCGGCGTGAACTAGGGCCGCTGGCCTGAACTAGGGCTTGGTATTTCGAACGTTGTTATTTTTAAAATGAAGGCGGATAAAATAGGACCAAAGGATGCGGCCGCGCGCTGGGGGCACGGCCACCGCATCCCAGGACAGGCTCGGACACGACTTCATTGCCCTACCCAAACGGACAGATTCTAGGCAGAGCGGACGTCCGTTTGGATTCGCGCGGTGGAGTTGGCCTAAACCCTAGCCGATGCCGCCCCCAACAATCACCTCTTCCTCTACCCTTCTCGCTGCCTTAGGATGACGCTGGCAGAGGTAGGGTGGGTGCTTACCGTGTTTGTAATCACTTGATGCTGCATTATGGGTTAATAAAAAGCAAAATGTACTTTTTTATGGGAATCACTTTTGCTTTGTTTTGCTGGATTTTATTATTAGGTGGGTAAAATATTAGGTCACATATATACTGAAAGTTTAGGCCAAATCCATTTTGGATCACTTTAAAAAAAATAAAGAAATAAACATGGCCCCGTGAGTTTAGTAGAGAAACTGTACTGCATTCAGTAGGACGGCACTCATCACTGGAGCACCAAAGATTTGGAGCCTGCTTTTGCGTTTCAGCTGGAGACGCACCAACCAACACCCAAGGAGGGCAAGCAGTTCTTGCCGCACCACCACCAGCTACCGCACGGCAAAAGCCTCCACTCCACTCTCCCTACCGTCCCTAACCCCACACCATCATCACACCAGCACGAGTAGAGATGTAAAAGCTCGGCCGAAATGCGCCTCAAAAGCATCTCTTTCCCCCCTCTCATCTCCTCCCGGCATACTAATATATTTTGCAGGCCACCAATCAAATTCATCAAAAGGGGAGCCTACCGTTGCTAACATCAAAATACCCCTGCATTGTAATGTGCAGAGAGGACTAGAAGGCGTCCGCCCGGCTCTGCTGACCAACCTCCACTTCAGAATTTCCTCTTCCAGATCACGGGATTTTCTCCCTCCTCTTCTTCCGTCATTCTTCGTCGCTGGCATAGAATCTTGTCCCCATTCTCGCCGGTTTATTTCTTCGTAGGAGGGATTGAATTGGCTAGCCTAGCACAAATGCTGGTGTCCGGGAGAAGACGACTGCTCGTCATGTGCACAAGCTTTGTGATTCTTTCGCTTCTCACGCTGCCGTCCGATGGCTCGTCGAATTCCACGGAGGATCTCGATCAAAGCCGCAACAAGACCGGGAATCCTCTCGAGGTAATCAGGGTGGTTTTCTTGCATCGAGTTTGTGGTTTTCAGATCACATGCACTCTAAGATACTTGGTTCTGGGTTACATTCGTTGGAGAACAAGGTCTTTCTTGGTTGTTTTCCTATTATTTAATACACTGCTAACAGCAACAAATCTCTCTCTCTCTCTCTTGCAGTTGACGCCTAGAACAGCATTTCAGCTCAAGCTACACGCATTGTTCCACTGGTCTTCTTTCGGTCTCTTGATGCCTGTGGGGATATTGCTGGTCAGGATGTCGAGCAAATCAAAAAGCGGCAGATGCAGCAGAGTGCTCTTCTATTGCCATGTCATTTCTCAGGTTTGTATATCTTATATCCGAGAGATGTTTCTGTCTTTTTTGTTTCATGTTTCATGGCGCATCAGATTCATTTTTTCGTGCTCGGCTGGATTTGCAGATCGCGGCTGTACTTCTCGCTACTGGCGGCGCGGCTCTGTCCTTGATGAACTTTGAGAACTCCTTCAGTAACAGTCACCAGAGAGTAGGATTGGCATTGTATGGATTCATGTGGCTTCAGCCAATCATCGGTTTCTTCAGACCAGAAAGGTGAGAAAAACTAGTTTCATGTCGCACCTTGCATCCTTCTCATGTTTCATACAAAGTTCATACCTGAACCTGAATCCCATTTCCATCTCTACAGAGGTGTCAAGGGAAGGAGCCTGTGGTTCTTCTTCCACTGGCTCCTCGGCATCGCAGTTTGCGCCACTGGCATCGCAAATGTCTACTCTGGCCTCCGCACGTACCACAAGAGAACTGCTAAGAGCGTGAGCCTTTGGACCGGCCTCCTTACAGTTGAGATCTCCTTCCTAGCTTTTTTCTACCTCTTGATAGATAGGTGGAGCTACATGATCAAGCAAGGACATCTCCCGGTCGAGCAACTAAGACCAAACGATAATCACAGGACCTATCCTACAACTCTTCGGAAAGAGCTGGGCATGGTGCAAGAGTGAAGTCTTCAAATAAGAGAAGACAGAAGTCAGTGTGAAGATTGATGGATGTTGTGAGGTTGGTCAAGGGGAGATGGTAAATGCTACTAAATCCTCTGGTAACTTGCTTGGTTTGAGAAGTGTGCGTTTGAACAAGATTGTACAGCTTTTATACTTGTGTTGAGATTGTAGAGGATTGGAACCTCTGGTGTTGTAGCTTGAGAAGTGATTTTAGATCTTGTTTCAAGACACCATTTGAACAGCTTGTGGGAAGCAGTCAGATGCATCATTATATTTCTGATCATCAGGGAAGAAGAAATTATCAGAAGTTTCAGAACTGAGGTTGAAATGCACCTGTAGTCTTCATGTTCTTTGTGCAACAATTTCTTCAGGTTGTCAATATCAAAGCGTGCGCAACATTTCACGGTGCTAATTCTTACTTTTGGCCCTCCTTGTTGAGTTTAATATTGTATTGATGTTCCTTGTGGCTAATGGATAAAACACACTTATGCCATATCTTCTGCTTAATGGATAAAAACCTACATGCCCCATATACAAATTCTAACTATATATACAGACATACAATTCTCTGGCAGAGCCAAAGTACCTTCATGTGCATGAAAAAGTCTGAAGATGACCACTAAAAACCTCTTGGTTCATGGCAAGAGCTGGACATAACCAGTTAAGACAGCGATAGCTAAAATTGCGATAGGCGGCACGAGGACGAATGCACCGACAGTCGCGAAGAACACCGAGTCATTCCTCCCGCTAACCTTGGTGAGCATGGCCTGCCTCTTGATGTTCCTCCTCTGTGAGACAGTGAGGGTGTTGAGGGTCTTGAGGCCTTCCCTGAGCCTCTTGCCCAACGGGAGGGTGAATGTGAATTCGCCTCCCCTGTCACCGTACAGCGCTACCAGCTGCTCGCGGATGGTAGTGAGCACACGGGTTTCCGTAGCGGTTTCATTCTCTGAGCATGAGGGGATGTAATGTTGTTAGTTATCAATGAGAGAGGGGGTCAGGAACGTGAAGGAAGTATGGTGATTTTGTGGTATGGAAGGTACCGGTGCCATTAGGTGTGGAGGACGACGTCAGTTGCTCCAGGAGATCCAGCTGTGTACGTGCCGAAGAAACTTCAGAAGACGAGATGTCGGCGTCAGTAAACTGCTGATAACAACAACTGGTACCGTGGGAAGTTCAGAACAAGGATCCTAGCTATACATGGGGAATGTACTGATTACTTCTGATTTTTGGTTTGGATTTGCTAAGTAGATGGATTTAAAGCCTCTGCAGTCGAGCATAAATCGACAGAATCAGAGCATTGTGCCCACTATCTCAGTTAGATATCATCACAAACTACTGGATTTCTTTAGTCACGTGGTACGAAACACCAACATATAGGTCAGAGAGATACGCACTCTCTTCATTTCAATCCTGCCATCTTCGGCAGAGTGACCGTCTCGTTGTGCGCCTCTAATTTCCTCACACGATTGCACGGGTAAGAGCAGCGATGGTACAAGGGTTACGGACTTACAAAGCCACCAGGTGCAGAAATCTGACAGCGACGAAACCTTGATGGGAGGGTTGGTTAGGGAGCTGACAGGCGGTACCTGAGACGCTTGGATCCTGTGTCGCGCCCTCGAATTCCTGGCGGGCAGCCCTGCAGCCGCCCAGCGATCTCGGCGCGGGCGAGACCGACGCCTTGAGGGGCACCCTTGCGCTCTTCACGGCCGCCGCGTCCACCGCCTGGAGCCTCGTGGCGGAGGAAGGGGAGAAGCTGCACGCCATGAACCGACCGACGCAGGTTTCGTGGCTCTTGTCCAGTTGGACGAGGTGGAAGAAGGGTTCGTCTTGTCATTCGGCAATGGGCTGTGGTAGGAATTCTCCGCTTCGCGTTCCACCACAGAGAGGAAGCGACGCACGGCGCACCACACGTTCGAGCCTTCATGGTCGGCGGGCCCACAGAACAACATTCTGGAATCTGCTCACTTCGAGTTGGAAGCCTTTGGAGAGGGATCGGTTGGCAAAATTGATAAATTTGACATGTGAACGAAAAGAATTCACAAAGTGAACTGTTATTGAAAAAAATTCACTCTGCTGATCTTTTTATATAGCGCCCGACATCTAGGCACCACACTACATTATGTAGCACCTAATTGACAGACGTTACACACCTGACGAACGTCGCACCTCAGACAGCCCAAAATTACTAAGTCAGCATGCAACGCCTAAGAGCTAGACACTACAGTGTCTAGGCGTTGCACTAGTCCATATGCGCCGGTGCGGCGGTGCCGCGCTATGCCTAGCCAAAAACGTTTACGTGTACCATCAGTTTGCATGCATCGGTTAATTGGCACATGCACATGTGATATACCTATGAGGCCCTAGGACACTTTTCCCCACAGCTTTACACAGCACACAAGGAGACAATGATGCCAGACACCCATGACACACTGTACCACAATTCCGACTTGGGCGCCTGAATCTCTCTCTCATGTGTCTTCACCAAGTGACACTTGCTAATAGAAATTTATGATTTACAACTTATTGTTTTTAAACACTTGGTCGAAATTGTTTGCATCATTTGTATACACATCTGCATGATGGGGAAAGAGTGTAATACTCTCTCTGTTCTTAAATATTTGTCTTTCTATAGGTTTCAACAAGTGACTACATACAAAGCAAAATGAGTGAATCTATACTCTAAAATATGTCTATATATATTCGTATTTGGTAATCATTTGAAATCTCTAGAAAGACAAATATTTAGGAACGAAGGGAGTAATACCGAACAAGGACACACGAATATGACTCATGCATGTGGGATCAGGTGTGCAGTGCGAGATAAAGCTTCAGGGATTTTTCGTGGCTGATTCGAGGTATTTCTACAGCACACGGATACAGAAGATCCAATTAGAAAAAAACTGATTCTTGATAGGGACATATCAGAAATAGCCCCATAGATCATAGCCGGGAACCCATGCATGCACTAGCTCGTAATGGTACAGCTTAATCTAACTAGCCGACCACCCATTCCGAGATTCAGTGCTATGAACCAATGCAGCAGATAACGCGAACTCTACGCATAGTGCAATGCCTAGAGGCCAAGCGTTGCACTGTATAATGCAGTGCCTAACTCTTAGGCGTTGCACACTGACTTAGCAATTTTCAGTTAATTCGGTGTTCGATGTTGTAACGCCTTTCAATTAGGCGTTGCACAGTTTAGTGTGATGCCTAACTGTCAGGCGCTATATAAAAAGGTCAGCTATGTGAAATTTTTCATCAACAATTTAGTTTGTGAATTCTTTTCGTTCATAGGTCAAATTTGTTGTTTTTGCCGGATTGGTTGGGCGTGTCTAGCATTCTAACTAGCATAGCCCGCGCGGCGGCATGCCGTGCCTGGTGATGCATTATAATTATACGAATTGTAAAGGTCATTGTTATATTTTTAATGACAGAATCGCATAACTAAAACCCAGAAAAAGTTCTAAAAGGTGGAAAATGAGTACATTTATTGTAGCCATGTATGATAAATACTGATGAACGGAAGTATACACGCTACTAATAAGATCTACTTATTGGCACATTATAGAGACCGTTCTATGGAATATACCATATACAATGATGCAACTGCATGAAAGTAAATGATTGCGGATGGCCTAGTTGAGTTAAATCTCTTAGTGTAGCCCCATGTAAAATAGTTTGTAATGAAGTAGTCAAGAGCTTTTGCAAATTCCTCCAAGGACGTTGGGGTACATGCGAAGAAGTGCCACGTCGGAGAAATCATTGCATATTATCGCCAAGATCATTGTTTGTCTTGCAAATTCATTCTGTTGGGTACTTACTTGCTAGCGAACCATGAATTTTCATGCCCGTGTGGTGGCACGCCGCGCCTATTGATACTTTATGTGAGAAATTCTATGTACAATAATATTAAACTTCATATACCAATTATTTAATTATTTTATTCACTTTTTACGTGTTCACTTCAAATTTTATATTATGGTGTATGTAAAAAATTATATTGGTACACATGCTATAATCTTTCATAAAGAAAAATTTTATTGAATGAAAAGAGACAGTACATTAATTGTACATAAAGAGAATACGTATTGATATTGCATGATAAATTTCTGATTCCATGGTAATTCAAGGCATCCTTGTTTGACCGCCCATTGGTTTTGTGTTCGTAATGAAATGATAGCTAAGGAAGTTCACATTAGTAGTTAACATGATAGAGCTTGTATATGGGGCAGTTGTTCAAGCTTCAGTAAGAAAAACAGATTGTTAATGCCTTGCAATTGCTTCCGGCTTTTCACCCCGTAAGGGTCTTATTATGTAAGTTAATAGTATGTCATCCAAATTCATCATAGCTTGATGCATCCATACAATAAATATGAGAAGGGATCGTTCAAAAAAATAAATATGAGAAGGGGTTAAAACCATATCTCTAGTATTGATGCCTACATACAACAAATATGATAAGAGGGTAAACCCATATTATTTAGTCTTGATGCTTGAATAGAACAAATATTAGAAGGGAGTAAATCATGGTCATCGCAAAACACCATATCATCAAATTAACAGCAGATGCATCAAATGACATGGGACCATGAAGAATATATTCCACACCGGAACCGCCGTGGGTTTAACGGTTGCAAATTCCTGGACCAAGGACAGATAGTAAATGTTTGCAGCAATGATGGAAGGGATACTATACTTTAAGAGCACAAAAATGAACCTTAAGCTAAATAACACCAATCAGTTAGTGGCCATCTCTGAACCTTTAGTCTACAAGAAAAGGCTTCAAAATAATCGACAGAAGCAATCCCTATATGGATTATGATAGAGGCGAGGGTCTCGATCTTTCGATGAGACGATAAGTATCGATTTGGTGGAGACGACTTTGACGATCCGACTACAAACATGCACGACGTTGCGCCTTAGCAACCGCTAAACCAATCTGCTGAGGTTACTAACGATGCTGGAAGCACGGTCAGCCTGACCACGAAGGTCTATTCCTGCAAGCAATCGAAGAACGAGCAAGAATATGATAAAGCAATCTGAATATCGCAAATATATATGAAGTATTGATAATGGTGGGGATCCGGAAGCGGTCTTGGTCTGGTCGTTGGACACAAACAAAGTACACGAAGTTGCAATGGCTAACTTTTAACTAAACAAATCCCAAGGAAAAAGCTACTAGATGGATCTACTTATATAGGAGCAAGGGGTGGCGGCCAAGGAGGTGGGAGGACGTACCAAGGCAGCCTAAAACTAACCCTAGGTCGTACAAGGCTCATGGGCCCAAATGGAGGTGATGCAACACCTTTGGGCTTATAGTTTGACTCGGATTCTGCTGCAACGTCAGATTGTTTCGTCCGTAACTCAATGCTCCGGACGAATTTGAAGGTGAATCCAATTGGATTGGAAAGAGCACGAAATCTAGTTTCTAACAAAAAAAGAATCACCCAATTTGGAGTCCGTATGAAAAAGTTGTTGGCGTTTTGAGTCAGGTATGTCTGTGCAGTCCGAATCTGAATCCAGAACGTGAGAGACTTGGACTCTATCTTCTCTTGGCCCAAAAGTGACGTGAGAGGACTTTTTGAACACAACCTAAACTTATCCTTTTCCCTTATCTTCATGTGTGGATTGTACAAATGTCCCATACACCTGCAATTAGACAAAACACAAAAGTGTGTGAAGTATTTTTGTTCTGGATAACATAAATAGATTATTGAATAGTTTGCATTAGAAATCACCTGACAAATATGCATGTATGCAATATTTTTGGTCGTATCCAAGGTAGTCATGTCCTCATCATCCTCCCCTTTTTGAAAATAAAGTCGTCCTCGGCGTTGCTTAATCTGAAATGTGGCTAACAAAAGAGACAAGGTGTACATGTTGTATATGTATATGTCATCCAGTTTAACTTCCCTTGATTTTTGCACGTATGACACATGTATACATGAGTAACTTTCATAGTTCATAAAAACTAAAGCCAAAAAATTATCACAAGAAGTAGAAGGCATGAAAATATTAGAACTCAGTTTGCACATATAAGTGAAGCTCTTATTCATTTCAAAAGATTCGCAATGTTCATCATTAAACCATCCCAACTTTGGTGAATAAACCTTACTTGCATCAAATTTACATGCTACAACATGCTTAAATAAGCAAACATGCAATAAGTCATTGGACACAGAATCATCATCAAGATTGGAGGCCATATCATAATGATTAAACATTAGTTCTTTTGCATCAACAGTTAATTCAACGGGTGCACTCAAAATTGTTGATATTTCAGTTGTTTGATCACATGACGCATTCATGACAATAAAAAGATTCTCTAAAGCAGGTGGTGTGCTCAAATCAACAGGTAACTCAATACATGACGCATTCAAGTTAACTAGGCATGCATCATTCTCATGTGAAGTTATATCATCAATACCTTTACTGTTACCTTATGGCAAAGATGTAGCTGATGTAGGTATGGACGTTGACAATGTACCATACCCTTGAGATGATGTCGCGCTCATAATCCGAGGTGCAATGATGGAGGAACCCACCGGCGGTGGTGAGCATGAACTGGAATAGTAGTTGTTGTAGTCACCTAATGCATCCTCCTGTATCTGTCTCTCAAAGGTACAAGCACAAACATACATACCAGTAATGCAACGAGGAATATACTGAAATCTTGCCTGAATATCATGGTTCAAACCACCAAAAAATCTATTCATTGTATCATTCTCAGATTCTTCTATGTCCCAATGATGCATATAAGATTTGAACTCTTGGTAGTAAGCATGAACAGTGTTGTTGCCTTGTTTAAATTATTCAAATTTGCGAAGCAATTCACGACGATAATAAGGAGGGAAAAATTGTTGTCTCATTACAGCTTTCAAAACTTTCCAAGTTGTGAGTTGGTTATCAATGTTTTTCTTACAA